TCATAAGTCAGATAGATATGCTTCACTCTGTCTTTTTCCAGGACCTTGTTTAGCTGCAAGGCTTGGCTAACTGCATGCAGCGAGGCTAAAGCTTTATTCTCCTGCCTTGACTGCTGGTGTCCTTTTTCAAATGTCAGGATCTGACCCAGCATGGATAAAGACAGGTAGATTGATTTAAAGCAGTTTTTAGAAAAAATGCTAACAAAGCATGAACAATCTGGGATCAAATGGAAAAAAATACTGTATAATATAATGTACTTTTTCTAGATGTTTGTTAGTTTGCATAGTTGCTCTTAAATAAACACATTCTCAGAACCTGGTTTATATACATTAAAGAAATACAAAGCTGACTAATAGCTTCTCCATTATTAAACTGCTACATTATTTTTTTAGGTTTGTGAAACAATATTGGACCTTGCGAAACACAGATTTGCCTTCACAATGCCTCAGAAGGGCAAAATCTATATACAAAAAGTAAACCTGCAAATGAAATTATGCTTTTTTTTATAAAATGTTTTAATAAAAACACAGCATAATTTCATTTACAGGTGTGCTAATTTGGCATACATTTGATTGGTTTTTGGTATATGTCTATTTTGAATTTATAGCCCCCCCTAGAGAACACTCAACCAGCCGCCACTGATGATTGTAATAATTAGGGTTAGGTGCAAGGCCATATAAAATGATTTCAAGTCAATGAAATGACCCCATATTTTATGAAAACACTGCTGTGTGTCTGTGTGCATTTGCTCTACCTTCTCATGGATCTCCTGTGTTGACTGGGCATCACAGAAGGCAACGGTTGCTAAGTCTTTGAGAATGGGCATCTCCACGGTGCAGTCGCGCCCGTCCAGCAGCGCCACCAACGGGCGGGGGTGCATTGGCCCATTCATGATCTGGGGCCGAATACCTGAAGATGCATAAGAAGAGGGGGATAATCATAATTTTGAACAAAAGAGCATTGTTTGTTATATATAAAGCACAAAAATGACTAAGCATTTAATTTTTTGATTTGTTTTTCAGGCAGCCAGAGTTTACAAGCTTTCTTTTGGGTTCAAGTGGCTCCTGGTCGATGGCTTTTTGACCAACTTACCAATTGATCTACCCTCTTACTACACTATAACACTGTAGCAAACACAGCAGCATGTTGAAAGTGCTGCTGCTCTAAAATGCTGTTTCTACCACTCATCTGCACCACTGCTACAGAATCGGTGTATCAGTGATTCAAATACTGCAGCAATGACCCCAAAATAACATTCCTCTTAAGCTACGTTGCTATGAGCTTTGTCTACACCGATTAGGATGCATTCACCTCTGTATTCTGGATGCTTTTAACTTAACCCTTTAAAGCCCGACCCAAGAATAAAACAAAACAGAAAATTACTTTTTTTGGGTATGAAGTCCTTATTTGGCCTTTTAACAAAATATGTAAAAAGAAAAAACAGAAATACATTTTTGATATTAATAATTTATTACTATGCGATAAGTCAAGATGATTTTTTTGTGTAGTCTTCTGCCCTCTGTTATCAGGTATATCTGATTGTGTACAATAGGATTTTGAGCAAAGTTTTTACCATTAAATTATGCAAAAGGTGTCAGACGCAAAACATTTCAGAAACCGTATGTATCAAATATGATACATTTGGCATTACAGGGTTAAAGTGAAACTAGCAGCTGATTTACTCATTTTACTGATATACTTTAGCCAAAATGAGATATGATGATCAATTCAGTTCAGTTTATTTCATTTGATTAGTAAAAAAAACTCAAAAAAAGATCTCTTTTTAGCCTTCACATATTTTCTTTGAGTGGCAGGAAGTTGTAAGGCAATCTGCAAAGCCCTTTGAATCATCTCGTCAGAAAAGGGTTATTGAATCCCAAGGGTTACAAATGTAGCACAATACCAGTTGTGAACTGGGCCTGATAAGCCTGTTCTTCCCCTAAAAGTTTCAGCGAGTCCAAGTTAAATATTTGAGCACTGGCATGCAAGTCTATTGCTTTAACACCTTGATTTGTTTAATGTTGTATATTAACAATATATCAAAAACCTTTCGATGCAGGATTTCAAATATATGCCGAGGATAGGGTGGTATATGCATATGGAAAACATTTAATTAATTACTACACAACTACAGCAACATTTAGAAACTGTGTTATTATGATTTATAATATCACATCTTACAGTTGATTTTAGTTGAATAGTGTGGATTGGCTTCTTCTTTAAAGGTGGAGTAATAACATTTAAAGGTCAAGGGTAAATACAAATACCTTGGTCTTGAATCAGCATTTCATATTTGAGAGTCATTTGAAAAGGTTCTAAAATGGGCAATCTGTAGTTTCAGAATGATTTGAGATTTTTTGCTATTTTCTGCATGCTTTTTTTCCCTCTCAGCTAGTTTATTGTGGGACTTCCTGGCCACAGGCAACAGTCACAACAATTAAACAACAGAGAATGATCTACAACAGAGCTTTAACGATTCAAGATAGAAAATCTATTTGAACACAAAACAGTTTGGTTCTGCTGAAATGAAATGTAGCCAGCTCTAAAAGCTGTAAAAAGGTTTGGTAATTTAATATGAATATATTATGCTAATATTGATCAAAATAGCCAGTTTAAAATTTAAACATGATCATTTTGATTTTCTATGTCTGTGGTCTCATATGTGAACCTAAATCATTTCCTGCTCCTCATAGAAATAATTAATGCTCCCTGCATAAAGGCAAAAAGGAGCATTTCTCCTCTGATATCTACATATTTGTTTTATTTAAACTCTTTACAAAGATTGCTTCGTCATGACTGTACAACATTGTCACAGTTTGCAAATACTGGGAATGTAAAAATAGCCACTATACAGTAGTTATTGCTTCTGTACTTTCTTCTTTTGTTGCACTGAACGTTGGCGTTGAACATCAAATTAAAACATGCCATGTAAAATAAATACATGTTTAAATAGTAGAAATAGTAGAAAAACAAAAGGTGATTAGAATGAAGTGGGAAGCAGGGCTGCTCCAAACCTACAAGGCTTGCTCAATAAATCAATGCACCTACTTCAGACTGGATTAGACTTTAGAGGAAGTCTCTCAGAATCACAGCTCTAAAACACCTGCGTCACACTCTTAAAATGTACACCTAACACAAGTGCAACAAGGTAAGGGTGTATTCATATAGCAATAAAGGAAAACACATTTCCCAATGTGACGCTTTGAAAACTACAGGCAGAAATGGACAAGCATTTACTTGCTTTTAAGGCAAGGAATCAAGATTTGATCAATAGCAAACAAAGCTGAAATCATCACCTTCACGCCGTACTTCATAGAGCAATGTATGAGTGAAATGGAGAAGACTTGAGAAAATGTTAAAAGCCCAGAACAAACCCCATAGCAGATTCACATCAGCGCAGCAGCGCACTTGACAGAGCATGTGTCGCCTTTATGGGTCTGTCACCGAGCGAGTCGTTTCCCATTTTCTCACTTAGAGTGAAGAGAGCAGAGAGGAGCTGAGCTCCCCGGTGGCTCGACCTTCTCACACATCCCTGAAGAAGACTGCATGTCGCACCGAGCAGGAAGACAATTATCAGCCCTGCTTCATACAATGTTAACAAGTGATGAGAATAAATATTCATGTCGCTTCATGTACAGATGGGCCTAAAAGCCCCCCAAAAACCTTTTGACTATAGAAATCCAAGTCATTTATAGCAGCAATGGAAAAATCCAAGCCTTAATTGATCACATACAGACCTAAAAGCCAAACCTTATTCATGAAATCACTGCTTATTGTTCTATCCCTCTTGAGTCCATTCACATTTTTCTGTTTATTTTTATTCTCATTTATCTATTTAGCCTTTTTTGTTCGCATTAATGTCCAAAAGAGGAAAATACCTCATGCAACCCTTAATTTCAGTACTGTCCTCTTCAGTGCACACATGGCATTACTTACAGTGATGTGCAAAGACCCTCCCTCTCCACTTAAAAATAAAAATGAACATTCACAACCCTGTACCCGCTCCGGAGAGGGTACGCTTATTAAACGAGTGCGAGAGCATGCAACAGCCCATTTCTCTTTTTGCACATTCTGTTTAAAAGTTGCTGGCTGCATCACTTATATAAGGTTACTTTCCAGAAGAAGATTTGCAATTTTTCCACTATGTCAGACTTACCACCGGTAAGTGAAAATGGGCACGAGCACATAGGATGGCCTTACGTAAACCTATGACCAGAATGATTGACAATTAAGAAGACCACTTACATACATGATCCACCCCGAAATAGAACAACCAGCCACTACACCTTTAATCTGAATAATATTGTGACATCATAGCAGTATAAGCCTAATGTTTACTTTCCTCTATTCTACAGTTAAAGCCTAGTTTGCACTACTAAGAACAACACTGCATCAAATAAATGATGTGCAAATATGCACAAGTAGGGATAAAAAATAAACTCAGACTAAGGAGACTGAATGTTCAGGGCAATGCAGGCTATGCTTCATGAAATAATGAGTTCACAGGGGCAAACACTTTTGCAATCTGATAATTCCAGTTTTTTTTTTAATCTATTCTCGAAAAAAAAAGAAAAAAAAGAAATTCAGTATTCTCCCAGAAGAAATGGAAATTAGGGTTTATAAGTTCTTAATAAGCAGGAAAAGTTTTCTTGATCTAAATTTTATGGCCTGTGAGAATAATTTTTAAAAGTGTGAAAAAAAGACATTAAGCACAGGCATTAAAGGGGTTATAAAATCTGCAAATTTCAGAATATTTCTTATGTAAAGTTTATATGAGTTGTGTCATTTATTGGAAAAAAATTGCTATTTTTACAGCAATCTTTCAAGTAGTATTTTGTCCCAAATTGACACAGGTGGGAAAGAAGAGAAGACTCAAAGGTCAATGAGCGGTAGGATTCACAGTGTCAGCGCACATTGGGATTACATCTGAGCAGGTTGATTAGGGTAGGTAACTGAGATTAGAAGGTTTTACATTAATAGTGTGTGTGTGTGTGTGTGTGTGTGTGTTGCAAGGCAGGAAAATAAACAGACATAAGTGCTGCGAGAGAAGTAGCATGCTTAAAACAGACTAAGCACTGCCTGTTAGCCTTAAAAGCTCCCAGGAGTCATATCAGAGGAGAGGGAGATGAAAGGGGAAACTGAAGACTGAAAATGACAGGAGAGAGGAATAAAAAAGCAAGCAGTCCAGTAGTGCAGCCACTTAGGGCAGGCTGAGTAGATATCACAGCGCTAGGGATTGCCTCCTGCAGCCCGTCTGTTGTCATGGTGATCCCTTGACAGGCTTTTGCTATGAGTTTTGGCACGCTTTATTTTTAACACCACTTGCATGCAAGACAAGAGTGGTGGTCGGAGGGAATAGCTGCTATTATCCCCGTCACATTGCAGAGGACGGAGATGTGCTAATAATCAGACTGACTGACCCTTTTCATCCATCAACCGCTGCTTCCTACGTAAACCCTGAGTCCCGATGCAGACAGGTGAACCTGCACCGACTGTCTGTCACATGTGCAAAACGACATCTTAATTTACATCAATAGAAAGAAAGACCGTCTATATTTATAAACCCAACACTTAGTACACTAACCAACTAAGCCTTTCAATCTAAAAACATTTTCTATTAACCAGGATTAACATATATTTATTTTGGCATGTTGGAAAATATTGATATTAGCCAATATTGCCAAAATAATCTAAAAAGGATTATTATAGGGCTGTAACTGTAGATTAATTAGCAAATTAATGAATGTGCCCATAGATTTTTTAGGAAATCAAACCAGGGGAAACAAAAATCTTTTCCACTTTGGAAGTTCTGGATAGAACATATTGACAGATGAAAATGTTTTTTTTGTCTTAAATGCAAAATTTTTACTTTTCTTTTACAATGTTTATGTAATTGCTGCTCTAAATAC